TGTCGATGAATATTTATAGAATTTCTGTACATTGATACAAAATTTCGAATTATTCGACGTTTATTTGATGATGTTTTAATATTCGTCATAATTCAAATTCTTAGATTACAAGTTTCGGAGGTAGAGAAAGAGTTTTGTGAAAGATAAATATATTTATATATATATATATATATATATAATAAGAGAAGACGAACGAGATTATCAATAATATCGGGAATGAAAATCTATATAATATATAGATATATAATAATATAGAGATTAAACATGATGAACGAATTAATTACTAGTTCATCAAGTTCACGTTTGTACTTATGCTATTTGTAATCATTCCCAATAGATAATCTAATATCGCGGATATAATCGGCTATCGAATAATGTGACATTTTTTTTTGTCTTTTTTCTTTTTTTATAGACGTCCCTGTTGTTAGAAACGTAGATATACTTATTCTCATATTATATAATTTATGCTACTATTACCAACAGTGGTCGACGCGTCGATAAGTCTAACATGGTCCGATTTGTACCATTCATCTGCATGCACTGCATGCATTCGGTATATGTATGCGCATATATGGCTAATTAATTATCGATAAATCGTCGCAAGTCTATTTCGTAAATGCTTTCATTGATTAACGAAAGCATCTAACGAAATAACGTAATGAAATTGAATTATCACCCTAAATATATATATTCATACGAATTTGTCAATACGATTTACAAATATTCGTTTGAATATTAATTTAATACAACACGAGCATTTTTGTATACGTTATATAATAAATGATAAATTCAATCCTTTCTTAACTTTTAATCTTTTGATAATCGTTGTCACCCAACACGCTCGTCATATATTCTTCTAGGAATGCAGTATTACGATAATTTTTAACTAGCTGCTTTTCGACGATTGATTGCTCGCTAAAGCCGCTTGTTCTCGTTGATGTCTACAAAATTATAAAATTATAAATTAAACTTAGTATTTTTTCGAAATTTTCTCTAATAAAATACAATACTAATTAATTTTTGTTTGGATTTGTGGATGAAAATTGATAAACTTATCTCTTTATGGTTTTTGTTTTGTTTTCTTTTTTTTTAAATAAATTTCTAACACGTTTCATATAGTTATAACGATTACGAAATGATGGACAGAAACTTTGTGTCAAATGGTATCTAAAAATAAACTCTAAACGACGCGACGTCATTTTCTGATTTGAACGAACAAACGAATAAACTAAAGAACTAACGAACGGCCTTGATCCATGAAACCGGAAAAGAACTTCTTAATTGTATACTTGGCAACAAACGTAAAGAATAAATTCTATGTTAGTTATAGAAATATTATGACTATGAAGAAAAAAAAATAGAAGAAATTAATTATTTAAAATTTATTTTATATATATTA